TCACACATTACACAAGAAATATTCAGGTGAGTTAAAAATCAACATGTAGACTGTAAGGAGTTTTAGGAGAAAATACAAAGTAATATTTTTCTTACCCGGAAGTAACATATTTAAACCCAGAAGCTATAAAGTAAAATACTGACAATATGACTATGTTAAACATTTAAGACTGTACAGTAATATACATATAAAAATATTAAAGGACAAGTAACAGAATAGGAAAGTATTTGCAACACTTTCTAAAAAAGGGTGCATGGTTTGTTTGCTTTTTTAGAAAAAATTCTACAAACGTTTAATCAAAAAATGGGTCAAGAATACCAAAAAGTCATTTAAAGCTTTTTAAAAAGAATAGAAATAGGCAAGAAATATACAAAAACAGGTTAGTTTCAACAAATAATAAAGGAACAATTAAAACAACATCATTGTCACAATCATATTTATACATATTAAAAAATATTGGTAATATCAAGTATGGCAACTGTGAAAGGAATTGGGTATTCATAGACTCTTTTTCTTCATCTTAAAGCAGTCCCGTTAGCATATTTTGCAGTGCTGGTTTGGTGGAGGTGTATTCTCTTAGCCTTCTTTTGTCTGGGAAACTCCTTATTTCACCTTCCATTTTAATTGAGAGCCTTGCTGGGTAGAGCCGTCTTGGTTGCAGGCCTTTGCTTTTTCATGACTTGGAATATTTCTTGCCACTCCCTTCTGGCTTGTAGTGTTTCTGTTGAGAAGTGAGCTTCCAGCCGTACCGGGGCTCCCTTATATGTTACTACGTCTTTCTCCCTTGCTGCCTTTAGGATTCTCTGTTTGTCTTTGATATTTGCCATTTTAATGATGATGTGTCTTGGAGTGGGTCTCATTCCACGTGGAGAGGGTTCCTCTTGGATGGGACCCTCTGCTTCCTGGACTTGTGTCACTTTTTCTCTCCTCCAATGAGGGAATTTTTCCATCATGACTTTTTCAAACAGGTTCTCTATCCCTTCCTCCTCTTCTCCTTCTGGTATCCCTATCATACGGATATTATTCTGTTTCAGGTTATCCTGCATTTCCCTAAATGCCTCTTCGTTCTTTTTGAGTCTTTTCTCGGTTTCTTGCTCTTTCTGGGAGCTTTTTTCCTACCTCTCCTCCAGCTCGCTGATTCGGTCCCTCGGCTTCATCTAGCCTGCTTTTGATTCCTTCTACTGTGTTCTTCAATTCAGAAATGGTATCCTTCATTTCCTCTTGTCTCTTATGATAGTTTCTATGTCCTTTTTCAGGCTGATATAGTTTACAGTAAGTTCCTCATAGTTTCCCTGTAGCTTTTTGGAATTCTCTCTGAGCTCACTGAGCTCATGGAGCTTCCTTAGAACCGCTGTTTGGAACTCAATATCTGATCGTTTCCTTGCCTCTATTTCATTTAGTTCCCTTTTGGGGAATTCCTCCTTTCCCTTTTACTGGGGGGTATTTCTTTGTCTTCCCATTATTTGTCAGAATCTTCTTTTTTGCTCTGCTTCTTAAGTTGATCTGTCTTGCTTTCCTGACTCTGTGGTGTGAACTTCTATGGAGGAGACCGCTGTTTTTACTTTCTGGATCTTCCTCTGCTGATGTCCGATGTTGACCCTGTCTGACCTTAGGCAGCCTGTTCGAGGCTTCCAGGAGTCTACTGACTGTGGCTGTCTCCTTCACTTGTTAATTTAGTCACTCTGCACTCAGCAGTCAGGCTTAGACACCACAGGGCAGTACAGAATCCTTCCTGGGGGCAGGGTTGTTGGATCCTCTCATGCTGCTGCTGCTCAGGGGCTGGTCTCTGCCTGAGCCAGATGGCTGCTGCCACACGGGGGAAAGTCAGCACCAGGACCCTCCTGCTACTCTCTCCTTTCCTTCCCCAAAGCGTCTGTCCCCAGTCACCTCAAGTGTCTCCAGACATCTCGGCGCCCCCTTTAGCCAGGGATCTGCTATCTGTGGCTGCCACTCTGTACTCAGCAGGGGGCTTAGGCAGTTCAGGGTGAGGCAGAGTCCCTCCTGGGGGCGGGGTTATTGGGTCCTCTCACGCTCCCGCCACTCAGGGGCTGGTTTCTGCCTGAGCAAGATGGCTGCTGCCGTATGAGTGGTGAGTCAGCACCAGGATCCTGCGGGCCACTCTCTCAGGTCCCTCCCCAAAGCCTCCTTCCCCAGTCTCTCCTCAGGCGTCTCCGGCCCACTCTGCCCCCCGCCTCAGCCTGAGACCAGGGTAGTGGCTGCTAATAGAAATTTATGCGTTGGCCCTTTAAACGCTCTTTGCGTCTCCAGCCGCCTGTCTCTGGCAGAGAGCAACCTGCCGCTTTTCCCAGCTGGCTGTTTTCTGTGTACCTTTTGGGCTCGGGTGCTGTGGGCTCGAGATCCCCGCTTTTGGTTTAGACCCCGCTCTTCTCAGGGGGGTCAGAGCGGGGGTCCAACTGGCCCGTTCAGTACCCTCCTGGAGCTGCCGCCCGGGGCGCCCCGCCCACCTTCTCGCGTCTCTACCGCACTCCTGACCAGTCAGGCTGCCCTAAAGCTGATTCTTCGGTCTCCGAGGTTACAAGGCTCCTCTCTTGCTGTTGTTCAGTTGTTTGTTCCAGGTGATTTCTCCACGGTTTAGTTGTAATTCCAGGCTGGTCCCGGGAGGAGGTCAGTGTGTGACTTCCACTCCCTCCTCCGCCCTCTTGATTCTCCTCCGCTTCCCTTTTTCCCACGATGGACCCGAGAGGTGAATTTGAAAACACGGGGGGGGATTGGTTCGTGCTGCACAATAAAGCGTTGAGAGCCCAAGGCACCTCCCTGTGCACGAGGAAGCAGCGTCCAGGCTCCCGGGCCTGGCGCTCCACAGCCTCTACCCGCCGGCGTGTCACCGAAGCCCCGTGAGCTGCGCGGTGACGGCCGGGCTGTCCCGGGACTCTCCCTCCCGTGGAACCAGGCGGACCCCGAAGCAGCCCCGGGTCTGAGGCGGGAACGGCGGGAGGAGAAGCTCAAGGGTGGGCGGTCGTTCGATCTGCTCCACGGAAATGGAAAGGTTCCAGCGTCTGGCGCGGGGCCGCCGTGTCCCTCCAGACGCCTCCCGGCCGCGCGGATGGCGGAGGCGGCCGCCGGGAGGCCAGGGGCCGCGGCTCGGGCTCGGGCTCGGGCTCGGGCCCGGGCCGCCGCCGCCGGCCTCTGTCCCTGAACCCCCTGGGAGGACGCGCTGCGGGCCTCGCGGGGGCCACGTCCGGGAGACACAAGACGATCCCCGGGACCCGTGCTTCCCGTGACACCAGGACGACACGGCCGCGGCCCCCGTTGTTGTGGCTTGATGCCGAATTTGCTTCTCTGTTTTCTGATAAACTGTGAACTTCCTAAGAAACCCGGAAGAGAACACTTACTTCACTCCCTTTCGTTTCTTACCCAGCGTTTGCCCCTGCCTTTCCGGTGCTTCGCAGGGGAGCCATTATTTTCCTTCGGGAGATACTTTCCTCAGTGTTTCCCTTTTCTTTGCCGCAAGGGTTCCTATATGTGCAACTCCAGAAATACCTGTACCCTTTGTAATTCTCAGTTTCTCTTTGGGAAACCGAGAGGGAATTTGTCTCCTTGTGATGATTTTAGCTCTTTCTATTTTTGCTCCAGAGATTTATATCGGTTTTTAATCGCTACCTCAGGCCCTGCCAAAACGTAAGCCGCATGCGACCATCTAAACACACTTAAAGGCAGAGTCTGTCCAGTGGCTGAAACCCGACTCATGTGTACGTCGTTCATGAGGAAAGCACTCGAAACACGGCGGCGGGCGAGCGCGCGCCTCATGCACATGCGCGTCTCCTGGGGGATTTCTGTGGGTCTAAAACACCCCACGCTTCAAATACCACGTGGAATCTGACGCACGCCCGGAACTAACGAGCAAAATAGAGACGGACTCACAGACGGAGAGCAGGTGACCGCGAAGAGGGGCGCGGGGGTGGCGGGTGAGAGGAAGGGACGGGGACTCGTGGACGCGGGCCACGGCGTGGCGGCTGCAGGCGGAGGGGGTCTAAGGGGACTACGTGGTCGTGGAAAAATACAATAAACAGATCGCAAAAACGGAACGATTTTGCACTGAATGAAAATAAAATAGAGAGTTATCAAAACTTGTAGCTGCAAATAAAGCAATGCTTAAAAGAAGATGTATGACACTGTTTGATATTGGAAAAGAATGTTTCCAAATCAGTAATACGAAAATCCCTCCAAATAATTAGTGAAGAAACACCAGAAAAGGAAAAAGAAGAAGAGGAAGGAGGAGGAGGAGGAAAAAGGAAGGAAAGATAAGGGTGGACATTAGGATAATTTTCCAAAGATGATAGAGAAAATCAATGAAACCAAAATCTGGTTCCGTGAAAAGTGTCCTGAGGTAGATGAACCTCCAGCAAGACGAACAAGGAAGGGAGGAGAGACGACATATCCCGTCAGGAGCAGGAATGACGCAGAGGCATCGCTACAGACCCTACGGCCGCGAAGAGGCCGGCACGGGGCCGGCTGTGTCCCGGCCCCTTCCTGTGGGGGGCGCTTCCCAAAGCCACGGACCCAGCCCTGCTCGAGCCGCTCGGGCGGAAACGGGGCGACGACATACGTCATGAGCAGGCCTCGCCGCCTGCCCTGCTGTCAAGCAAATAAAGAGCCCAAGGAGCATAAAATAAGTCCTAGTACATAGAATAAGTAAAGAGGAAGCCAAGGTTTTACTTTCAAGTGAGCAAGTTTATTAAGAACACGGGGAAGAAGAGTGATGCCTTGGAAGCATCCGGGTCGGATGGGGACGGCTCTGCTCTGTGAGAGGGAACAGCGGGGTCCAGGGTGGTGGCCCCCGGCCCTCCACGAGGCCGAGCCTGGGGTGCGGGGTCAGAGGTGAGATGCAGCCGGGGCCGCCGGATGGCGGGGATGCCGCCCATCACGCCAGAGTGTGCGGGGCGGGGTTAGCCGCGCCTCGTGAGGTGACCCGGGACATCGGGTGCAGGGCTGGTGAGTGGGCATGTTACGGGTGAGGAGGTAGAGTCCCCACCGCGTCTTCAGTAGTAGTAGCCACAGCCAGAGCCGTAGCCGCAGCCGTAGCCGCAGCCCAGGCCTCGGTAGCCACAGCCGTAGCCGCAGCCGTAGCCGTAGCCGCTGCCCAGGCCTCGGTAGCCGCAGCCGTAGCCGCAGCCCAGGCCGCCGTAGCCGCAGCCCAGGCCTCGGTAGCCGCAGCCGTAGCCGCAGCCCAGGCCGCCGTAGCCGCAGCCCAGGCCGCCGTAGTAGTTGCCGTAGTAGTTGCCGTAGTAGCCACACATGGTGCTGGCGGTGAGGGTGTCCTTGGGAGGAGGAGGAGGAGGAGTGGAGGTGACTGCAGGAGTGGAGTGTGGCCTCTGCTCGCTGCAGGCGCCTTTTATGGGCCCCCGTGTGGGGGGGCCCGCCGCACCTGCTCACCCCATTGGCTAATCCTATGAGTAAGCTAATGAGTCTGTTGTTCCGGACCCTGAGCCGCAGCCGTGAGGTATGCAGGAAGCTCCTTTTATGTGGCCGCGTGGGCCTCCGCTGCAACCTCTCAGTGGCGGAGAGAGAGCAGAGAGTCACGCGGGCAGGTCCCCGCCGGACCCCTCGCCTCGCTGCAACTTCAGGTGACGCCCGTCTCTGGGGACGTGCCACGGCGGCGCGCGCCCCTGACTTGCTCGTGGCACAGGAAAGAGTCTGCATTCTTCTCCTTGTCTTTCCCAAACCCCCAGCGCGCACTGCTCACCAGTGGCTCTGCCTCTCCTCGCACCTGAGCGGTGCCAGTCCCCCGTGTTGCAGCGGCGCCTACCCCTCTTGGCGGTGGGTGGCCGCTGAGGAACCCACAGCTCCATCCTCTTTGTGGCCCCCCGCGGGGCCCCACCCTGTGCCCACGGCGCCTGCCAATCCCTGACGCCAACCGGTTTTCCTTCCATTGCCTCGCTCCTCTCTGTGACATGGACCGTAGTTTCTACCATGGGTCCACCGGAAGGAGCGGCAACCATGGGTTTTATTTCACTGAGATTCCTATCAAATGCCTGTTCACTGGGTGTTCACTCTTGAGATGCTTACAGCTTCTTGCTGTTTGCGTCCCTACGGGCTGGCCGCAGCCTGCAGCGTCCGAGCCCCCAGGGCTCTTTGCGCGAGGTAACCCTCCCGGGGCTCGGGGACAGCACGTCACCAGGTTGCCATGCAGGGCCAGCCCGCGCGCGGCCCGGCTCACTAACGCCACTGCCAGTCAGGTATTTGATTTTATCCACCCAACGAGGGTAAAATCTCTTGGTAAGACATACAGTGTGTTAAGTAGGAATCTATTGTTCATCAGGCACTCGGATTAACAATCATTGATTATTTTTTACTTTAATGTTTTCACTATGATGATCCAGGATATCAGGGGGCACAGCAAAGCCAGCAGAAGCTTGTTATTGCCTAACAGCAACTGGGTCTGAGTCCTCCTGGAGGACTCGGGGCGGACGTGGGACACGCACCCGTCGTCAGCGACCAGGCTGCTCGCAGCTGTGTTCTCTGTTCGGAGACGGTCAATACGTCTGTCTTCACATCAGCTCCAAGCACTGCCACAGAGTGTGGGATTCAGGGCACAGCCTTTGGCCGGCGGCACGACGGAGAACCCACGTGGAATCCTCCCCTGGAATCGGGGCGCAGAGCTCTGTCGTCATCCGGCCCATCTGCTCTGACGATCTATTTAGCTCGGTCAGCAGAAAGCCAGCCCCGTGAGAGAGCAGGGCGGGGGTCCTACTAGCACGCAGGCCACACAGGGCTGTTTCTCCGTGTCCCCACCCTTGGGGGGCTCACTGTGGGCAAGGGCTATACCTAAGCTGATCGCCAGATATATTTTAATGTAAATTAATCCGTGACAATTAAATGATCCTAATAACTGAATTTATCCTGGGAGATTCTTCTGCATTTAGTAGGGAAAAAGTCCTTGCCATTACCTAAGCAGGAAACACCGACAACATTTTATTTTACTGTATAAAGACACCATAAACGACTCGTTATGAGACACGCCTGTCATGCTGAGCCTGCCGGGCCGAAAGTTACTTCACTCCTCTCACTCCTGCTCAGCGGCAACGTGGTGGGAAATGGCAGCACATCAGAGAACTGTCCTAAGACTTACGTGAGTTCATGCTCATAAAGCGCTTGGCAAGTGACTGCTGTGTAGTAAATAGCTAATAAAGGCTCCAAGGACACAAGAGACTAACAAGCCCTATAGTAAACAGCTAGTAATGCTACTTAATTATTATTACCTATCTTATAAATTGTTATACAGAGTTTTGGCATATGAATTACTTAGGCAGCATTGAACAGATTTTAGAGAAAATTATTCTTTTATATGCAAATCTTAGAAAATAAGCCATGCATGTAATACTAAAAATTTATACTTTTTAACCACCATTGTTCTAAGTGCCTCACATTATTTAACACATTTACTTCTCATAGGAACTCTAGAAGTTAGGTTCCATGATTATCCTTTATTTTCGTAAAAGGACACCCAATTCTCAGGAAGTCACACTGTGACTGAGAGGTGAGGACGGACGTAATGACAATCTCTGAAGAGAGAACTCAGCGTGTTCACACCGTGGCTCAGGCGCGAGGAGAGGCAGAGCCACTGGTGAGCAGTGCGCGCTGGGGGTTTGGGAAAGACAAGGAGAAGAATGCAGACTCTTTCCTGTGCCACGAGCAAGTCAGGGGCGCGCGCCGCCGTGGCACGTCCCCAGAGACGGGCGTCACCTGAAGTTGCAGCGAGGCGAGGGGTCCGGCGGGGACCTGCCCGCGTGACTCTCTGCTCTCTCTCCGCCACTGAGAGGTTGCAGCGGAGGCCCACGCGGCCACATAAAAGGAGCTTCCTGCATACCTCACGGCTGCGGCTCAGGGTCCGGAACAACAGACTCATTAGCTTACTCATAGGATTAGCCAATGGGGTGAGCAGGTGCGGCGGGTCCCCCCACACGGGGGCCCATAAAAGGAGCCTGCAGCGAGCAGAGGCCACACTCCACTCCTGCAGTCACCTCCACTCCTCCTCCTCCTCCTCCTCCCAAGGACACTCTCACCGCCAGCACCATGTGTGGCTACTACGGCAACTACTACGGCAACTACTACGGCGGCCTGGGCTGCGGCTACGGCGGCCTGGGCTGCGGCTACGGCTGCGGCTATGGCTGCGGCTACGGCGGCCTGGGCTGCGGCTACGGCTGCGGCTACCGAGGCCTGGGCAGCGGCTACGGCTACGGCTGCGGCTACGGCTGCGGCTACCGAGGCCTGGGCTGCGGCTACGGCTGCGGCTACGGCTCTGGCTGTGGCTACTACTACTGAAGACGCGGTGGGGACTCTACCTCCTCACCCGTAACATGCCCACTCACCAGCCCTGCACCCGATGTCCCGGGTCACCTCACGAGGCGCGGCTAACCCCGCCCCGCACACTCTGGCGTGATGGGCGGCATCCCCGCCATCCGGCGGCCCCGGCTGCATCTCACCTCTGACCCCGCACCCCAGGCTCGGCCTCGTGGAGGGCCGGGGGCCACCACCCTGGACCCCGCTGTTCCCTCTCACAGAGCAGAGCCGTCCCCATCCGACCCGGATGCTTCCAAGGCATCACTCTTCTTCCCCGTGTTCTTAATAAACTTGCTCACTTGAAAGTAAAACCTTGGCTTCCTCTTTACTTATTCTATGTACTAGGACTTATTTTATGCTCCTTGGGCTCTTTATTTGCCTGACAGCAGGGCAGGCGGCGAGGCCTGCTCATGACGTATGTCGTCGCCCCGTTTCCGCCCGAGCGGCTCGAGCAGGGCTGGGTCCGTGGCTTTGGGAAGCGCCCCCCACAGGAAGGGGCCCGGACACAGCCGGCCCCGTGCCGGCCTCTTCGCGGCCGTAGGGTCTGTAGCGATGCCTCTGCGTCATTCCTGCTCCTGACGGGATATGTCCTCTCTCCTCCCTTCCTTGTTCGTCTTGCTGGAGGTTCATCTACCTCGGGACACTTTTCACGGAACCAGATTTTGGTTTCATTGATTTTCTCTATCATCTTTGGAAAATTATCCTAATGTCCACCCTTATCTTTCCTTCCTTTTTCCTCCTCCTCCTCCTTCCTCTTCTTCTTTTTCCTTTTCTGGTGTTTCTTCACTAATTATTTGGAGGGATTTTCGTATTACTGATTTGGAAACATTCTTTTCCAATATCAAACAGTGTCATACATCTTCTTTTAAGCATTGCTTTATTTGCAGCTACAAGTTTTGATAACTCTCTATTTTATTTTCATTCAGTGCAAAATCGTTCCGTTTTTGCGATCTGTTTATTGTATTTTTCCACGACCACGTAGTCCCCTTAGACCCCCTCCGCCTGCAGCCGCCACGCCGTGGCCCGCGTCCACGAGTCCCCGTCCCTTCCTCTCACCCGCCACCCCCCGCGCCCCTCTTCGCGGTCACCTGCTCTCCGTCTGTGAGTCCGTCTCTATTTTGCTCGTTAGTTCCGGGCGTGCGTCAGATTCCACGTGGTATTTGAAGCGTGGGGTGTTTTAGACCCACAGAAATCCCCCAGGAGACGCGCATGTGCATGAGGCGCGCGCTCGCCCGCCGCCGTGTTTCGAGTGCTTTCCTCATGAACGACGTACACATGAGTCGGGTTTCAGCCACTGGACAGACTCTGCCTTTAAGTGTGTTTAGATGGTCGCATGCGGCTTACGTTTTGGCAGGGCCTGAGGTAGCGATTAAAAACCGATATAAATCTCTGGAGCAAAAATAGAAAGAGCTAAAATCATCACAAGGAGACAAATTCCCTCTCGGTTTCCCAAAGAGAAACTGAGAATTACAAAGGGTACAGGTATTTCTGGAGTTGCACGTATAGGAACCCTTGCGGCAAAGAAAAGGGAAACACTGAGGAAAGTATCTCCCGAAGGAAAATAATGGCTCCCCTGCGAAGCACCGGAAAGGCAGGGGCAAATGCTGGGTAAGAAACGAAAGGGAGTGAAGTAAGTGTTCTCTTCCGGGTTTCTTAGGAAGTTCACAGTTTATCAGAAAACAGAGAAGCAAATTCGGCATCAAGCCACAACAACGGGGGCCGCGGCCGTGTCGTCCTGGTGTCACGGGAAGCACGGGTCCCGGGGATCGTCTTGTGTCTCCCGGACGTGGCCCCCGCGAGGCCCGCAGCGCGTCCTCCCAGGGGGTTCAGGGACAGAGGCCGGCGGCGGCGGCCGGAGCCCGAGCCCGAGCCCGAGCCCGAGCCGCGGCCCCTGGCCTCCCGGCGGCCGCCTCCGCCATCCGCGCGGCCGGGAGGCGTCTGGAGGGACACGGCGGCCCCGCGCCAGACGCTGGAACCTTTCCATTTCCGTGGAGCAGATCGAACGACCGCCCACCCTTGAGCTTCTCCTCCCGCCGTTCCCGCCTCAGACCCGGGGCTGCTTCGGGGTCCGCCTGGTTCCACGGGAGGGAGAGTCCCGGGACAGCCCGGCCGTCACCGCGCAGCTCACGGGGCTTCGGTGACACGCCGGCGGGTAGAGGCTGTGGAGCGCCAGGCCCGGGAGCCTGGACGCTGCTTCCTCGTGCACAGGGAGGTGCCTTGGGCTCTCAACGCTTTATTGTGCAGCACGAACCAATCCCCCCCGTGTTTTCAAATTCACCTCTCGGGTCCATCGTGGGAAAAAGGGAAGCGGAGGAGAATCAAGAGGGCGGAGGAGGGAGTGGAAGTCACACACTGACCTCCTCCCGGGACCAGCCTGGAATTACAACTAAACCGTGGAGAAATCACCTGGAACAAACAACTGAACAACAGCAAGAGAGGAGCCTTGTAACCTCGGAGACCGAAGAATCAGCTTTAGGGCAGCCTGACTGATCAGGAGTGCGGTAGAGAC